GCATATGCCCAGCTCCCAGCATTATAAAAAGGCACATGTACCACAGGAATAATCCAGCCAGGATTTTTCCTTCTGCCTAACCCAAGGGGGGATGAACTAGGCATCCCTCTTTATGAAAGCCTCAAAACCCAAGGTGCTCAATCCCTCGATCAAGTTCCTAATTTAGGAGGGACCCAGGTTTGAAAAGATCACCCCAGAGAATTATAAATACTTATGGCCCAGTCACATGGGTGCAAAATGGGAGTCAGAAATGCCGCACGCCACTATATATGTGCTAAATCACATTATCAGGTTACAAACTGTCTTAGAAATTATAACTAATCAAACAGCCATGGCTTGTTGCTCAGCAGTGAGCCCAAATGCACGCAGCTATTTATCAAAATCGCCTAGCTTTGAACTACCTGCTCGCAGAAGAAAAAGTATGTGGTAAATTTAATAGCTCTAACTGTTGTTTGCAAATAAATAATAATGGTTCTCAAATCCCACTATACCCCTTTGTCTGAAGAGTCAATGATTTGACTCTCAGCACAACTGAAAGGGGGGAATGTGAAAGGGAAAAGAAGCAGCCTCTGCCCCTGGGATTGTAAGGGGGGTGGAATGAAAGAAATGGCTTCAGCCTTGAAACAGGCGTTACTCCCTTCCTGGAGGTTTTTCTTTGAAGGTTTCTCCTCTGTAAACATTGCAAGATAAATTGTATCTTTACCCACTACACCTGTCTAATTAGCACATCTGCTTCTGTAAACTCGCCAGCTTGCTGATGTCAGCAGAATATTGCGATAAGAGCTCTGGAAAATGTCCAACTCTAACTTTAGCTAACCAAGATGTAAGCTAGGACTACTTAAGGGAGCTCTGAGTGGGGGCTCAGGGCCATCTTGATTGGAATTCTCTTCTTGCAAGCGGTCGCCAGCTGGCAGAGCCTTGATTAATAAACTTCTCCTTTGTTAAAATTAAGTCGGTGGGCTGTTATTTAATCACTCAGACCCTACTTCAATGCTATACAGGCTTTTAGCCCAGGAGCAATAGGCTATATCATCTAGATTTGTGTAAATACACTCTGTAATGTTCACACAACAATGAAATTGCCTAATGATGTATTTCTCAGAATGTATCCTTTTCATTAGGAGACACATGACTACCTATGCAACATGTCTTTTTTTTTTCTTGCTGTTGTCAGGATATCCTGGTTTTCTGCAACTTTATTATTAGGTGCCCAGATATAATTTCTTTTGTGTTTCTCTTTCTTGGGTTTTATAGGGTTTCTGTCAAATCTGGAGTAATGTTGCCTATTCATTTTTCAAATAATTTTAATGCTCAAATCTCTCTTGCCTCTTCTTCTGAGACTTCAATTACACATATGTGTTGGACCACCAATATATTCTCACAGGTCAATAAGATTTTGTTTATATTAATTTTTTAAACTTTAATTTAAATAGCTTTTTCTTTTTCTGCAATTTAACTTCACTAATTTTTTTCTGCAGTGTCACGAGTGCTGCTAAGCACATCCAGTAAAATTTTGATTTCAAATATTGTACAGTAATGCATCACTTAATAATAAGGATGCATTCTGAGAAATGCATTGTTAGCTGATTTCATTATTATACAAACATCACAGAGTGTACTTACACAAACCTAGACTGCACAGCCTACCACACACTTACGCTGTATGAGTCTATTGCTCAGAGGCTACCAACCTGTACAACATATTACTATACTGAATACTATAGGCAATTGCATACAGTGGTAAATATTTGTGTATTTGAACATTGAAAAGGTACAGCAAAAATACCATATTATAATCTTATAGAACACTGTTTTATATACAATCTGTTGTTGACTGAAACATTGTTATGCAGTGCATGGCTGTATTTCTTAATTCTAGAATTTCCTTTTCATCCTCTTTATTTTAAGATTTCTATTCATTAAAAAGCAGCACACTTACCTTTTGAGATTTGCCATCTATAGACATAATATCTTTTCCTAGAAATCACTGAAAATATTTAAAAACAACCCCTTTTACAGCCTTTCCTACTTATTTCAACATCTGTGCCATTTCTGTATCTGTTGCTATTAACTTTTTTCCTTCTGGCTATGGATAATAATTTCCTGTTACTTGAATGTCTAATACGTCTTTATTATTTGATGGAATTTTTATATGCTACATTGTGGAGAGTCTGTTTTGTTTGTCTCCCTTTAAATAATTTTGAGTTTTGTTCTGGAAGGTAACTAATGCATTGCAAGTGAGCTTGATCTGTTGAAACTTGATTTTAGGACTTAAGAGCATCCCCTACTATAGGGTTATAGTAACCCTATTCTTAAGGAGTTTCTGAATCTCAGTTGAATTCCTGGTATGTCCAACAAGATCTCTTCATTCTGGCAGTTAAGAACTCCAGCACTCTAAGCTCCATGACATCTCCTTATTAGTCCTCTTCTGCCTGATCTTAGAATCTCACTCTGCATGTTCAGCTTAATATTGGACCAGAGACTCAATGGAATCCATACAGTTTTCTGAGCTCATTCTCTGCACAGATTTATTTATCTTCTTAAGTATCCTACTTTGCAAATCCCAGCCACCTTAGCATCCCCAAATTTTAAACTCTGTTTTTTGTACCTAGTGAAGCTGTTACTCTCTGTTTGGGTTCCACTTGTCTGTGTCATGACTAGGCATGTACCCCAGGCAGAAGTCTAGATTGAATATGAAAAATCAACTCAATTGTTTCTTTTCTCTCAATGACCATAAATCTATACTGTCTGTTGCCCAATCCTAAAAATAGTTTTTTAAAAATGTATTTTGCTGTATTATATATTGTCTACAGTAGAAAATTAATTCTAGAACCTAATCTATTATTCTGGAGCCAGAGTTCTTACCTGCAACTTTGCCATCCCTCATTTCTCCATATTAATTCTGTATACTATATTCAGAGTGATTTTCCTAAAGTACAATTCTGACCATGTAATTTGGTACTTACAAAGTGAGTCAATATTATTCCATGCTTAAAATTATTTACTGGCTTCCCACAGCCCCTGGGATGAAATCTGGGCACTTTGGTATGGTTTATAAAGTACTTTATTATCTGATCTTGGCTTAAGTCTCCAGTCCCATCTCGTCTCTCTAAACTCTATCAACTATATTAATTATTTTTAGTTCCTTGAATGCTCTCACCCTCAGTTTTAAGATACAATTATCCTTTGACTGGGAAGGATCTTTTCAATACTTCTCTTCATCTTCTAATTATACCTTAAACGTTCTTTAGATCTTTTTCTTTTTGAAGCCTCTCTTAGTTACAAAGTCTCTTGCTATATGTTCTTAACAACACCTGTACAATCTCTCTCATAAACTCTGTGAATGACTCAATCGTATCCCCAAACTCTAGTATTTTGTAGTTTGACATTAGATATTTATGGAATAAATGGATGTATTTGACAGACTTTTTGTTGTTATGTCTATAAAGTCCAGATATTTTGGAGGAAGGTTTAAAACAAGGTGCTAAGAGATGCAGAATTCTGTTTCTCTTTTCTTTTAAAGTAATAATCATGAAACTGTATACTCTTTTACACACATCCTTGCAAAAAAAATTTCTTCATTTTACAACCCATTCAGAGTTATCTCTGGAGAATAGAAAATTATAAAATATTCCTAATTTTTTTTCTTAGTAAAAGTCTTGGAAGTATGGAGTACTTCCAACATGAGCTCTATTTTTAGGATTATTTTATATAAGCCAAAATAAATTGATAGGACCTATTACATTACTTTATTCACCTTTCTGTCATCTATGTAAGAAATAATCAACAACTATTTGTTAAAATGACATGTTCTGTGGTGTCAGTTAATATTTTTCAAGTACAGTGATGAGCGCTGAGGAATCAATTGTGAATAAGGCAGACAAGATCCTTGCCTTCAATGAGTCTACATTTTAGTGGGTTTTATACCAATTGAATATATCAACCAGCTAAGTCTGTATCTGTGATATAGAAAATGTCTTTGAGAACAGAACTCTTTAATAGATGCTCATGAAGCCAATTCTATAGGATCATACTGGTCTATTGATGTGCCTAAATGTGACAGTCTTACTAAAACTGCACTCAACTTATGGTTTGTTTAAATTGAGGGTCTATGTAGTTAGCTAATTTTCTACAGTTCTGCTTTGACCCTGAGCTCACTTTTCTTTTTATTTGTTCAACATTTCAGAAATGTTTGTTTAATAATTACTTATTAAATAAGTTTAATAATTATCAGGTGTCAAGCACTTATCTAGGCACTGATGATTAAGCAGTAACCAAGACAGACAAGTATGAGATCTTATACAGATTAATTTTTAGTGGGAGTGGAATGGGGAGAGAGAGAAAATATTGAACCAAATAAATAAGTGTCAACACATCATATATAGCATATGTTACACAAAAAATAACAAAGGTAATAGGGTAGAGAGCGACTGGGTAGTTGTTTTAGATTAAATGGTTAGAGAAAGTATTTCTGAGTGATATAAATTGAGACCTTAATGAGAAAAAAGTAATCACTGAGAGGACTGAGGGGAAGATAATTCTTAGGGCAAAGCCCTTAAGGTAAGAATGAGCCCATCATAGAAAGACCAGCATGGCCACAGTATAGCAGGTAAGATGGACAGTGATTCTGAAGACTCTTTAATATAAAGTCTTTAGCCAGAATCATCAAGAAATTGTGCATACACACAAGTTAAATCTTTTGATACTCTCCCTTTGACATCTTTTCTTTTTTTCTCCTTTCAAGTTTAATAATTGGCATAACTTTTTATGCCAATGCCACTATTAGGCTCTTCTTTTAAAGTCATAACCATTTTTACAATATGCTCTGTTATTTGCAATTACAATTACAGATACAGATTATATAAAGATTTTGATTAGAGTCATTATTATCACATTTTGACTCTTAGTTCATTGTAGTGGGTTTTACAGTGGGCCAAAGGAACATAAACAGTATGTTAATGCTGTTTCTAAGTTATGGGTTTGATAAACCTGCCTCTTACTTTTATTTCCTGATCCAGATAGTTTGGTATGCAAACAGTGTTTGCTTTTACATCATTCTTGGTATTTGTCGTCTCTGAAAAATAGGAGCCAGCAGTAGAGCATGTCTTTGGAGGTGATGGTGGCTTTTTGGCCTTAATTTCTTCCTAAATCAAAGGTACAATATAATCAATATGTTTGAACCCACTTATATTTTCTGTAAGAATTAAATGTAAAATGAATGAGAAATATTGTAGTTAACAATATTAACAAGATCCATGAAGGTTTAAAGAAGTTAATTTTAATATTTTCTTAAATTCTATTGTATTTGGAGAAAAAACAAACAGTGATATGCTATTAGTTTTTGGTGCAATCATTTTAAATCCTTAGTTTAACAATAAATACTTTAAAAATATTTAATGTATAGCCAGGCGCAGTGGCTCATGCCTGTAATCCCAGCACTTTGGGCGGCTGAGGTAAGAGGATTGCCTGAGCCCAGGAGGTGCAACTTGGTGAGACATCGTCTCTGCAGTAAATCAAAACATTAGCTGGTCATGGTGGTGTACACCTGCAGTTCCAGCAACTTGGAAGGCTGAGGTGAAAGGATTGCCTGATCCCAATAGGTTGAGGCTGTGGTGGCCATGAGCGTGCCATTGCACTAGAGCCTGTGCAACAGCGAGACTCTGACTCAAAAAAAAAAAAAAATGTGTAGCCTTTATATTGTAGTTCCAGATAACCTCATGACACATGAGAGTTACTGTTGAGTTGGGAAGATTTCTCTTTTATGGCCAAGGAAAGACAGCTGAGAGGAAAGATAGCTGCTTTGTCTGTGAAGAGACTACATGGTACAAACTACTACTTCCTTGCTGTAAGTGACACATTAAAGCTGGAGAGTTAGAAAGGCAAACTAAGTTTTTTCCCTTGATTAGTTGGAAGAGGAAATAAAAAGGTTCGGAGTGGTAAACATACTGTGTACAATTCTTAAAAAATTAAAAGATCATGGGAACTTTAAGTCCAAGAAGAGTTATAGAAGCCTTAGATCTGTGTGCCTGTTCCAAGAAGGCTTTTTACCCTTCAGAAGTGACGGATATATAAAGACACATAGAAGATAGTGGCTAAATGACAACCTAGAACTGTGATGATTGAAATTGACAGAACAATATTTCACTGCTGGTGTTTAGTAAAAATAAAGCTATAGTGTATTTAGGGGTACTCTTTTTTAAAAAAGTTTATTAAGCAGACATTTTTGGGAAAATAGTAATACATTAACTCCTCACTTAGCATCCTTGTTAGGTTCTTAGAAACTGACTTTGAGATGACTAAAAACAAAATCAATTTTTTTCTCATCAATGTTATAATGAAAGGACATTGAAGGAAATGATGTTATTCAAGAAACTGTGTCCTTTAACTTTAAGTCACGGTTTCCAAGAATCTATCCATAACATTAAGTGAGAACTTACTGTAAACATTTTGGTTCAACTCTCCCATTGGATACAACTAAAAGGCTGGTTAAACTTTTTTTAAAAACCTAGAATTCCTGACTTTTGAGTATGCAGTAAACAGATCAAAAGTAAAGGGAGAATAAGAAGACAGAGGTGTGATGAGTATAGTAGTCATTATTTTTGCCCTTTAGGGCATTGTCTAATCTTGAAAAATGAGAATCTTCTTTTTGACAGCTTTAAAGGGCCTCAAAGACAGGATTCAACACTCAGGGCCCAAATAAAAGCCACCCAAGAGCTGTATCCTCAAGGTGAAGATTACTTAGAAGTGTAATAATCCTGGAAGAAATATAGCCTGAGCCTTGGTTTAAGTAGGTCTAGATTGGTAGGGCCTCAGGGTTCCTACAGAAGTAAACAGAAATTCTCTCTAGAAGAAAGTCAATTTATCTTTAGGCTTCAGGTTCCTACAAATAATGTTTCATACATAGTGTCCAACAATTTAGTTGTGAGTCAAAGAAAAAATTATGACGGGAATTAGAAAATATTTTGAGCTCAGTGAAAACCTAACACAGCAAAAATTGTAAAAGTGGTTAACACAATCTTTAGAGGGGAATTTATAGCATATATATATATATATATATATATATATATATATATATGATAAAGGAAGTTAGAAAAAGAACAGTAAAATAAATTGTGTTAATAGAAAAAGTGATAATAGCAGAAATTAGCAAAATATTAAAAAATACACAACATCAAAAAATTAAAAATCACAAAAAGTAGCTCTTTGATATACTAATAAAATCGATGAACTTCTGTTAAAATTGAGTAAGTTTCTGTTGAAACTGGTAAATGTTTGTTGATTCAAAAACAAAGATACAAATTAACAAAACTAAACGTAAAAGGGTATTTCTTACAGATCCTATACTTTAAAAAGAATATAAAAGCCGGGCTCGGTGGTTCAGCCTGTAATCCCATGCTTTGGGAGGCTGAGGTGAATGGATTGCCTGAGCCCGTGGGTTCGAGACC